ACATGGGAGGTATTGAGAGCCGGTTCTAGTGGTGGTAAATTCTTCTTTGAATGAGAATGTTCTTTTATCCAGTAGGGAACCTCCCTTTTTTATTGAAGTTGATTGAGAAGGAGGTTGTTCAACAGTATCAGAGGGCCCTGGGGGCGAGTCGTTGGCCCCCACGGATGGGTTTCGCAACTTGGGCGTCCTCCTAGACTCACGGCTGTCTTTAGAAGAGCATATGACGGCCGTGGCCGGGAGGACTTTTTATCAGGTTCGCCTGATTCGCCAGCTGCGTCCCTTTCTGGATCGGGACTCGTTACGCACGGTCACTCACGCCCTTGTCACCTCACGCCTGGACTACTGCAATGCTCTCTACATGGGGCTCCCCTTGAGGAGCACCCGGAGGCTCAACTGGTCCAGAATGCGGCCGCGCGAGTGGTGATGGGAGTGACGTGGCACTCCCATGTGACCCCCCCTCCTGCACGAACTGCACTGGCTCCCAGTGGTCTTCCAGGTGTGCTTCAAGGTTTTGGTTACCACCTTTAGAGCGCTCCATGGCTCAGGACCAGGGTACTTATGAGACCGCCTTCTGCCACCAGTAACCTCTCACCGACCAGTTCGTTCCCATAGAGAGGGGCTCCTCAGGGTGCTGTCGGCCAAACAATGTCGACTGGCGGCCCCCAGGGAGAGAGCCTTCTCTATGGGGGCACCTGCCATCTGGAACGAGCTCCCCCCGGAGATACGGAGGATCCAAGATTTACGCACTTTCCGCCGCGCCCTAAAAATGTTTTTATTCCAACAGGCTGGTCTGGCCTAACTCTCCCTTTTAAATTGGATTTTAAATGTTTTATATAAATTGGATGTTTTAAATTTGTTTCTGAGCCCATATTATTTAATCTATTTTTTAATAGCTTTTAACTTTTGTATGTTATCTGTATTTTTATCTTGGCTGTTCACTGCCCTGAGTCTCCTGGGAGTAGGGCGGTATATAAATATGATAAAATAATAATAATAATAAAGCAGATTATCTAGATCCATTTCACTCAGGATTCAGTCCTGGGTATGGGATGGAAATGACATTGGTCACACTTTGGAATGATCTCTGCCATGAGTGGAATGGAGGTTGTGCACCCATCCTTGCCCTACTTGACCTCTTGCCACCGCAATACCATCAACACTGATATCCTTCTGGATCAACTCAGAAGACTGGTGTATGTTGTGACCCAGGCCCAAGTAAGTAGGAGGAAAATCAGTCAGTGAAAAAACAAACAAACTTTATTCGAACATCTGAGGATTACTTCATTCCCAGTGTCGTTCAACTAAATTAAAGCAAATTCCTCCCAACACAAATTCCTCAGTCCTATCTCAAACCTTGGTCCAATTAGGCAAACTGCCAAAGGCCTTTCTTGACAAATGTTCAGAAGTCACAGATACAAAAATAAATACAAGATATAGACTAAGAAGAAGACAAAGCTACCAACATTGTTTTCCGGCAAAGCCCAAATGCCATTGCTGGTCTGTTTTAAGCCTTATGGGAGGGGCCAATCATCTCTTGGCCCTACTCCCGAGTTGTCCTCTTTGCTTGAGCTGCTCTTGCCTTCTGGCAGCTCTTCTCACACGTGCATTAGGAACAGGCTCCTCCTGTTCCTCTGCCTCACTCCTATCAGTCTCTGGAGGCTCCGGAGTCCGCACCTCACTCCCCAATGGCCCTGGCCCCATCTTTGCCTCTGACGCAGAACCCTCATCTGGGCCTTCCCCAGCCTCCAGGACTGGCCCATCTTCTTCCTCAGCCTCATCGCTGTCCAACTCCGCTGCCAGCTCCGCAGGCTGCTGGCAGACCACACCAGTGTTGTGCCATTTGCCTCCCTTCCTAAGAGTCAATTCCAGTTAATAGTGATTTTTTTGGTGGGGAAGAGATCTTGCCCTCATCCCCTACTATGTGAGGTGCTGTAAGGTCAGTCTCTCTTAGCTCCTATTTAATATCTACATGAAGCTGCTGGGTGAGCTCCATTAAGAGCTGAGGTGGTGCAGTGGTTAGAGTGCAGTACTGCATGCTACTTCTAGTGACTGCTGGCTGCCAGTAATTCGGCAGTTTGAATCTCACCAGTGTTAGGATATGGTTTGAGCCTAACTATGTTGTCCAGGCAATATAAGTGTACTGTTACTTTATCTGTATATGTATTATGTGGCTTTACTGCTGAGTCATGCTGTAATCACATAATTACTGGTTGTGAGAATATTTAAGCAAGGTACTGCAACGTGTTCAGTTGCTGCTATGATATGCTGTTGAGAGGTTGCTGCTATGATGCTGCTGTTGATGATGAAGCTGTGATGATAAGCTATCATTGAGAGGAGGTGCTATCTGTAATTATCATTGGATGGATCTGCAACCATCGTGGTTTGTGAACCAGAGTGAGTTTGTTATTCTAACCAACTACTGTTTGTTGAGTAAGAAGATTCTGTAACTACTGGACTGATTTACTGGCAAAGACTTGGAATTTGTTTAAAGACTATGAGACTGTTTTTCCACTATAAAGTAAGCTTTTAATAAACCAGTTTGCATATCTCTTATTCATTGCTCTCAGCAACGTTTCACTGTGCAATCTACTCTGCTGGTTGGTAACACAACAACAATAACCTTAACAACCAGGCTCAAGGTTGACTATTTGTTTGTTTTTTATTTATTTATTTATTTATTTGTCAAGTATGTATTAGTTAATATATATAAGTATAAGCATGAATTGAATACATAAAATGAATACAATTAAAGAAAACATTAGACTTAGCTTTCCATCCTTCCAAGGTCAGTAAAATGAGGATCCATATTGTTGGGGGCAATATGCTGACTCTGTGAACCACTTAGAGAGGACTGTAAAGCACTGTGAAGTGGTATATAAGTCTAATCGCTATTGCTATTACCATGGGTTGAGATATCATGAGTATGCTGATTATACCCAATTATACATCTCTGCTTCTGGCAAAGTAAGTAGTGGTGCACATGTATAAATTGCTTGGAGGCTGTGTGAATATGGATAAAGGCCTATATGGCAGGGGGCCAGGTTATTTGAGGGACCACCTCTTCCCAATTACATCTGTCCATCCTATCAGATGCAGCAGAGGGGCCATGCTGCTGGTCCTGATGATTAGGGTGTCAGCGTTGCAACGCTAGCATAGAGAGAGCAGAGGAGAGCGAAAGATAAACTCTGAAACTTTTGCCTGCAAAATCCCTTTGAAGCTTGGTTGCCGTGGAAATCAGGGGAGGGGGCACATTCCTGAGAAATGACGAGGAAAAGAAGTCTGAAGAATGACTTGGAAGACAGCCAATGAGAAGCAGAGAGTTGGGGATCGGAAGGAGAGGGATTGGGAGGCAAAAAGTCAGTCTTGTCCACGCGGAGCCATGATCCGGTGGCTGAGCTCAATTAAAGAAAGATTTCCTTAAAGATTGGCAGTTTGGAAATTCATTTAATTTTGAGATAGCACCGCAGTCTGACATAGGGAGTTTCATGTGGCTGATCCTAGGTGGCAAACAATTTCTGCTGTGGGCTCTGCTTTATGGAACATCTTTATTTCTAAAATGAGACTGGACTTTTTGCTTTTCAGGGGCTCCTCAAGTCCTGGTTGTGTTTATAAGCCTGTGAACTTCGAAGGACTGGTGATATATTGAGATAGCTCCTGGGTTATTAACACCTCCACTTCACCTAATCTGTATTTTATTCTGCGCTTTAATAGTTTTAAAGTTCAACAATATCAAAATTGACTTCTATATTTTGTGTTAACTTTGTTGCATGCCATCCAGAGTCAGTTGATGGTGAGATGAACAGCAATATAAATAAGATAAATTAATACATAAATAACAAAAGACAAATGTTTGCTTTACTAAGGTAAACCATTTATTGAAATGCATTGCTAGTTAGTTTGTTCATGCTTGCAATATTATTTCTAGTGTGCAGAAGGAAACATTTTAGTGCCGCTAGAAGATCCGATGCAGAATATTGAAGCTGCTTTTCTCTTTGGCAACTTCTTGAATGGCACAAATGTTCAACAAAGAAGATTCATCAAATGCCCATGGTCTTTCACTTCTCAGCTTCCTTCCACGGGTATCTGAAAGGACCATCAATGATGTCGAAAAGATGAGGAAAAGAAAATTAATTCTCCCTCACACCTTTCAGTTATGTATCAGAAGCCTCCACGATGGCTTTACTCATCTAGTCAAACCTATTGTTTGAACACCCTCCAGTATATCCACTTATAGTATATAGATTTCAGTATAGTTACAATGGAGCTCACCATGCATAGAATCCAAATGAAAGCTTATTTGAGAAGGTAGTATAAAACATAATCATTTGGGGTTTTTCCCCCTATATATGCTTTTCCAAGAATCTTGTAGTCTTAAAAGGTTAATGCCACCAAGCGGTTAAATTTACCACTCCACAAATATTTTATATGTTCTGTTTATTGTAACTTCTGGAATATATCACAACTGCTCCATTAATTCTTTTCTTACCATGCTTTAGAGAAAATAATTTCTGGCATAAGCAGACTTTTAAAAATTGTTTTTGAGTAATGAGGGTACAGTGTTCTAACAGTAGAGATAGCAATAGCAATAGCATTTAGACTTATATACCGCCTCATAGTGCTTTTACAGCCCTCTCTAAGTGGTTTTACAAAGTTAGCCTATTGCCCCCAACAATCTGGGTCCTCATTTTACCCTCCTCAGAAGGATGGAAGGCTGAGTCAACTTTGAGCCTGGTGAGATTTGAACTGCTGAACTGCAGCTAGCAGTCAGCTGCAGTAACCTGCAGTACTGCACTCTAACCACTGTGCCCCCTTGGCTCTTCATGGTTGAGATGCCTTCAACCATAGCCTATATGACCTAAACTTCTCCAGATTTTGGATTTCATTTTCCACTTTTCTTTGATTTGTCAGGTGAAGGCTGGAATTAAGAAACCTATATTGTTTCAAGATTCGAAGTTCTCTAGATGAATTGGGTTTACTGTTTCTAAAGCATTGAATCTCGCTTATACATCTGATTTGGTTGTGACCGAGGTTTCCAGTTCCGTTCCACGGCTTTCCTCTTCCTTAAAAACTTTCTCAAATATTAACTTGATTGTCATTCTAGATGGTCTTCTTTTGTCTCTTCCTACCAGGAAATAGATGAGTGGGTTAATGGTGCTATTTAAGGAAGAACAAATATAGGCATATTCATAGACATACGGATTATCAAACTGGGGATAATACAGTGAGAGATACTGAATAGCGTTCATTGGAAAAGCAAAAAAGAGAAAAAAGAGAAGAGTGAGCAAGATGGTGATCCAAAGTTTCCCTTGCTTATGATGAGGAGATAATGAACAGGCTTTCAATGAAAGGGCTAACGTGGAGATAGTCATTACAGGAGTGAGAATTAGGGCATTCAGGAGAAATTGGTAGAACCTTAGCATATAATATCCGGTTGTTAACAAGAGAGTGACATGTAGAGAAGAAAATAGGAAGTTGAACACCCATATTATGTTACATACAATGGCGGACATTTTCTGGGAACGGTGGATTCGATACCAAAGTGGGAAAAAAACAGCTGTGCACCTGTCAATGCTGATGGCAGTCAAGATGCATAAACCAGTACTGTACATGAACAAGAAAAGACCACGAAATAACGTCTTTAGTGGATCGCCATATTCTATATGACTAGCTTTGGCTATAAGCCAATATACATCAATGGCACTGAGACCTATGAGGACACCAAAGTCAGCAATGGAGAGATTCAAGAAGTAAGTCGAGAAATTATTCCTCTTAATGTGGAACCCAAGGAGCCAGATGGTACCTCCGTTTCCCACAAGTCCCCAGAGGCAAATGAGTAGAGTTATAGTGATCATCAAAAACACTCCTAGAGGAATTGTGCCTTGATCTTCTGGTAGACTGGTTCTATTGTAGAAGCTCTCAGTTCCATTGTGTGAGATGTTATATTCCATTCTAGCATTCAGCAAGGACAGCACTAAAATTCAGCACGGTGGCCAGTTATAAATTGGGTGTTCAGATGTATAGAAACTCCTGCTGGGAGAAAAGGTATAGGATATAATACATTTTTTTTTCCTGATGTGGAGCTAAATAATTATTTCAACCTAGCCTCACATGGATTAAAAAATAAGTAAAGTAATAATTAAATCAGAAATGTATTTCTGCGTGATGACACCTCAATCTGCATTTGTCCACAAGGATCAACAAAGATAATCATCTTCATTTAATGACCCCATAATCCCTTGCAGGGGGCAGTCTAGGCAACTGAATGGAGCTAGCAGAGTGTTGTTTTTTAAAAAAAAATTGATTTATATGCCGCCCTTCTCTGGAGACTCAGGGCGGCTTACAATGCGTTAAGCAATAGCCTTCATCCTTTTGTATATTTATACAAAGTCAGCTTATTGCCCCCACAAACTGGGTCCTCATTTCACCTACCTTAGAAAGGATGGAAGGCTGAGTCAACCTTGAGCCTTGGAGAGATTCGAACCAGCAGTAAATTGTAGGCAGCTGTGTTAATAACTGGGTGCTTAAACCACTGTACTATCAAGGCTCTTAATGGCCAGATGCCCTTCCTGTCACCAATGCGGAGTTTTGTTCAGGAGATATATTCTCATTGTGCCCAGAGAGAGAGAGAAATATCTACCTCTACCTAGGATCAAACTCACAGCCTCCTGATTGTGAGGTGAGAGCACTACCTCTAGGCTACCACAGCATTCCCTAGGGTCAACAAAGATGCCACTGATATATATTATTATGTGGTAACATAGTAGGTTTTTGGAGACAGAGGAAATGATTGGTTTAAGAATGGCCGGTATATATTTAAAGATGTATACGGCTGTGCAATTCACAAAAAAATGCAACTCTGAGCAAAAATCACATTTTCCTAACAACATCAAATCAACAACAAGACAAAAACCATAGTCAGGGAATGTCACCCTGTAAGCCCCTACCCAGAATGAGCTCATCTAACATCCTGCCCACAATGCCATTGAGTACAGCTAGATCTTTAAACTTTTTCGATAGGCTAACAGGATTGCAACTAGTCAAATCATCTCTATGTAGTCTAACACTTGTGTTTTAGCTGGATCAGAATAATATTATTATATTATTTTGCAGTAAGAAATACAAGAAAGGTATATTTATTTAAGAATCAAATTTAGCGCTTTATAAATTAGAAGCTGAAGAAATCTGATTGGTTATAGATTGTGAAGGTAGAAACTAATGGATCAAATTCTCCAGGTCACTATTGGGTTGGTTTATCCACTTTGTTGTTGTTGTTGTTGTTAGTTGCGATGTTGTGTCCGACCCATCACGACCCCATGGACAATGTTCCTCCAGGCCTTCCTGTCCTCTACCATCCTCTGGAGTCCATTTAAGCTCATGCCGACTGCTTCAGTGATTCCATCCAGCCATCTCGTTCTCTGTCGTCCCCTTCTTCTTTTGCCCTCAATCTTTCCCAGCATTAGGCTCTTCTCCAGTGAGTCCTTCCTTCTCATTCTCATTAGGTGGCCAAAGTATTTGAAGGTTTCTCCACTATTTCATTTAATTGTAAGCTACATTTTACAACCATGTTCTTCTCCAAGTTTGGAAGAAAACAGCTATAAGATTTAAATAATAATAATAATAAAAAATCCTGACCACAGTAGATTTGTATCTATAATCAAATAATCTATCCTTAGTGGCCAGTCAGTCATTAAATAGAAATTGAAACATAGTTCATATCAGAAAGTACAAATAAATTGAACAGGAATAACAGTAAATTATGAAACACTTTCTTTTAAAATCCAAGCAGAACAAAAGAAACATTTTATTACAGTCAGTGGAATAAAAATGTATATAATATGAAGTTAGAAATGTATAATAGTAAAGAGATAACTAAAATGTATAGGGGAAAAAGGAAAAAAAGAGGGGGAAAAAAGAAAAGGAGGAGTAATAGATTAAGATAAAGGGGAAGAAGAAATAAAGTAATAACTGGAAGACCACTATGAAACAATGCTTAAATATGATAAGTTATTTATATGTTGTGTAAATATCCACAACGCTTTGGACCGAGTCGTGCCTGTGTGGCCTCTGACCTGTCGCCGAGTCTACCTGGCTCCTTGGTTTTCCAAGGAGCTGAGGGGGATGAAGCGCCAGAAAAGACGCCTAGAGAGCAGTTGGAGATCTAGTTGCTCCGAATCCAACCGAACACTGGTAAGATCTCATATTAAGACTTACCTAGTGGCGATAAAAGCGGCAAAATGTAACTATTTTTCCGCTCTTATTGCATCGTCAGATAATCGCCCGGCCGCCCTGTTTAGGGTGACCCGTTCCCTCCTCCATCTGGGAGCACGGGAGGATCCCTTGCAGGGTCGTGCCGAGGATTTTGTTAAGTATCTGCACAATAAAATCACTCAGATTCGGGAACGCTTGGTCTCTGACTGGGTAGGTACAGACAGGATGATGGGTGCCGGTCTTGAGACTGCCATTTGGGAGGAGTTCGACCCTGTTGCTCCCGAGGACATGGACAGGATACTGGGGCGGCTGAACGCGACCACATGTTTATTGGACCCGTGTCCCTCCTGGTTGGTGCTGGCCTCCCGGGAGGTTACGCGAGGCTGGCTCCAGGGGATTATCAACGCTTCCTTGAGTGAGGGTGTCTTGCCATCCGCCTTGAAAGAGGCTGTGGTGAGGCCCCTCCTCAAGAAGCCTGCTCTGGATCCGGCTGTTTTGGCTAACTATCGTCCGGTCTCCAACCTTCCCTTCTTGGCGAAGGTTGTTGAGAGTGTGGTGGCGCGACAGCTTCCTGGGTACCTGGATGAAGCTGTCTATCTGGATCCGCTCCAGTCCGGCTTCAGGCCTGGGCACAGCATGGAAACAGCATTGGTCGCATTGGTGGATGATCTCTGGAGGGCTCGGGATAGGGGTTGTTCCTCTGTCCTGGTCCTGTTAGATCTCTCAGCGGCTTTTGATACCATCGACCATGGTCTCCTGCTGTGCCGGTTGGAGGGGTTGGGAGTGGGGGGCACCGTTCTGCGGTGGTTCTCCTCCTATCTCTCCAACCGGTCGCAGTCGGTGTTGGCAGGGGGGCAGAGATCGACCCCAAGGTGCCTTGTTTGTGGGGGTGCCACAGGGGTCGGTCCTCTCGCCCCTTCTGTTCAACATTTATGTGAAGCCGCTGGGTGAGATCATCCGTGGCTTTGGAGTGGAGTTCCATCAGTATGCTGATGATACGCAGCTGTATATCTCCACCCAAGGCCATCCCAATGATGCCCTTGAAGTGATGTCCCAGTGCCTGGAGGCCGTGCAGATCTGGATGGGGAGTAACAGGCTTCGACTCAACCCTTCCAAGACCGAGTGGCTGTGGCTTCCGGCGTCCCGATATAGCCAGCTGGTGCCATCGCTGGCTATTGGGGGCAAGTTATTGGCCCCCACGGATAGGCTCGCAATTTGGGCATCCTCCTGGATGCATGGCTGTCTTTAGAAGAGCATATGACAGCCGTGGCCAGGGGGGCTTTTTATCAGGCCTGCCTGATTTGCCAGTTGCGTCCCTTTCTGGATCGGGATTCCTTACACACAGTCACTCAAGTGCTTGTCACTTCCTGCCTGGACCATTGCAATGCTCTCTACATGGGGCTCCCCTTGAGGAGTACCCGGAGGCTCCAACTGGTGCAGAATGCGGCTGCGCGGGGGATTATGGGAGCGAGGGGTCGCTCCCATGTGACACCTCTCCTGCGTGAGCTGCATTGGCTTCCAGTGGTCTTCCGGGTGCGCTTCAAGGTGTTGGTTACCACCTTTAAAGTGCTCCATGGCATAGGACCTGGGTATTTGTGGAACCGCCTTCTGCCGCCGATAGCCTCCCACCAACCAGTACGCTCCCACAGAGAGGGACTCCTCAGGGTGCTGTCAGCCAGGCAATGTCGGCTGGCGACCCCCAGGGGGAGGGCCTTCTCTGTGGCAGCTCCCGCCCTCTGGAACGATTTGCCCCCGGAGATAAGAAGGATATCGGATCTCCGGGTCTTTCGCCGTGCCCTGAAAACTTTTCTTTTCCATCAAGCAGGACTGGCGTGAACCCCCCCCCTTTTTTTTTAGTTTTTTAGTTGTTTAGCTTTTAATCTGTCAATGAGTTTTAATTCGAATTGTTTTTATAATTGGGCCAAAGTATATAATTCTTTTAATAATTTTAAATTTTGTATTGTTATGTGTTTTAGTTTTGGCTGTGCACCGCCCTGAGTCCACTAGGAGAAGGGCGGTATACAAATTGAATAAAATAAATAAATAAAATAAATAAATAAAATTACAATTACAAAAAAAAAAAGCAAATTCCAATCTAATGATTAAGAAGTCTTTCTAGAAAGGAGTATACCAAATGGGGAAAAAAAACAAGAAAGCCTTGAACATACCAGAATTATTGCCAAATCCACCAATATTAGTTCATAAATACTGTATATACCTGCAGTTAAGCTGAGAATTTTAGTTGTAAAAATACATCCCAAAAAAATACATCCAAGATTCAGTTTAACCATGGGTAGATTTGTCCACCAATATAATAGTTTTTAAAAGTTCTCAGAATAGAATAGAATAGAATAGAATAGAATAGAATAGAATAGAATAGAATAGAATAGAATAGAATTCTTTATTGGCCAAGTGTGATTGGACACACAAGGAATTTGAATAATTATATACAAATATAACCCATATGTACTCATGGATAAGACCATAGGTGGATAAACAGGCCCTTAAATATGTAACTCATAAAAATTCAGGTCGGCTTATCGTTTTTCATGGTTTTTGAGTTGAAAATTGGAGAGTCAACAGATGGGCTTATTCTTGAAAATATACGGTAAGCAAAGATTCCAAATTCTGATATTATAGAAGAAATAACATTAGTGACAACTACAATGATTACACATAAGTCTTCTGTGATCTTGGCTCAACATACCTGATCTCACAGTATACTTACTGTAGTCATCAGACCCTCTTGGCAACTGTTTAATG